GTCTCCTCCAATGTTTCAAACAAGATCTCATCATCATCACACACTGTGCTCAGATATTTCTCCTTAGCTAGAGGCTCTGGATCTCTCATATTTGTCTCCTCTAAAGTTTAGAAGAGATCTCAACAACATCACACACTGCTCAGATTTTTCTCCTACACTAAAGACTTGGGAGCTCTCACATTTGTCTCCTCTAAATTTCAGAAGTGATCTCAATAACTTTACAAAGTGTGCACCAAGTCAAATGCCTCAATATGAGCTCAAACATGTCTACCATATAATATGTATTAATAATCAAATTAGTCAATTAATAATCAAGGCATGTATGTGCCTTTCAGCAAAGAAAGCTTCAGGGTTACATTTTCTGTAAATCAGTTTTGATTAAGGCATCCGGTACATTACTATTTCCAACAACAAATGATGTTCCTAAGTACATAAACATTGTCTCATAAAAAGTAACATTATCCTTATTTCTGCATAATTTCTCTCTCAATATAGCCTTTATCTCTGAATTTATGATTCCCCCCCTTTATTTGGTGCCTTTCAAGTACTTCACTTGATGCACACTTTGTAAAGTTGTTGAGAGCTCTTCTAAAGCATTACAGGAGACAAATATGAGACCCCCAGATTATTTAGCTAAAGAGAAAAATCTAAGCACAGTGTGTGATGTTGTTGAGATCTCTAATATATAAACATTTTAGGAGACAAATGTGAGAGATCCAGAGTCTCTAGCTAATGATAAAAATCTGATCACACTGTGTGATGTTGTTGAGATCTCTTCTAAAGCTTTAAAAGAGACTAATGTGAGATATCCAGTGTCTGTAGCTAAGGAGAAAAATCTGAGCACAGTGTGTGACGCTGTTGAGATCTTGTTTGAAACTTTGGAGGAGACAAATATGAGACCACCAGAGTCTTTAGACTAGGAGAAATGTCTGAGCATAGTGTGTGATGTTGTTGAGATCTCTTCTAAAACTTTAAAGGAGACAAATATGAGACCACCAGAGTCTTTAGACTAGGAGAAATGTCTGAGCATAGTGTGTGATGTTGTTGAGATCTCTTCTAAAGCTTTAAAAGAGACCATTGTGAGAGTGTTAGAGTTTTTGTCTCGGGAGAAAAGTTTGAGGAGCAGGAGACTTAAGCAAAAATCTCAATTCGATCTTAAAGTAACCTCATTTCTGTCTAGGATAAATATTTGACATGTTAAAGAGATCTCACTTTTGATTTTTCTTTCCTATGGGTACATTTATATTGTTGTTCTTGGCAGATATTTGCTTACAAAACATATTACAAAAATGACTTAAGCAGGTACTAAAAGATAAAGGTCAATAGTTGCACTGCTATGACAATAGCTGACAGATTGCAATAGTAAACATGAAATCCTGAGGGAGGTGTCTACCTGCTAAATCAGTTATCATGTGTAAACATGGCAGATAATAATCTATGAAGTATAAATAATATGCAGTAAACATTTAATCAGTCTGTTGCAATAGAGGTCTGCTACCCGACCCGGGTTTATAGCTAAACTAATACTATATGCAGTAGGCTACGCTGCTTTCATAGACGCACGCACACACATGAGTGCACACGACAACACAGCACGGAAACTTTTATTAGTAAAATAGCTTCGACAGGCTACTGACTCGCAACTTTATATTTCTCTGCAATGAGGGGGTAAAATCGCTGTTTTTGAGGTAACTAAGCCTCATTGCTTGTAGAGAGAGGCACGCAGACGCAGGTTCACACACGCAACTTTCATCCCTCTCTCTCTCTCGCTCTCACTAATTCAAATAAATTATATAATTAATTAATTCAAATAAATGCGATCTTACCACACTGCATCTCTGTGTCTGATTTAAAGCAGGCCGAATGCTAACGAGCCTTAAAGGGTTAGTTCACCCAAAAATGAAAATTAGGCTGTAGCCTATAATTCAGCATTTTAAAAAATGTAATGGATAGTGCAGGTCAACGTGATGGAATGGACAACAAAAGGGAGATGAAAAGCAGAGTAGATAACAAGTGTAAATAGTTCATTTTCTAATGAATTAAAGCAGAGAATGGGGCTTTTGTGTGCTGAAAGGCCACTGTCCTGGGCTTGACCAATGACAATACCAGCTCTCACATCACATGTAGCTCTTGAAAATTCACATTTAGATGCACTTCCTTCTGCCTGTCTTCTCTTTCCTCCATCACATGCTTTTCCACAGAAGTGCAGATGAAAGAGGAGTGTGAGAGACTGGGCACGACATGTCTCATGATGTTTTGGAATAAGAAAGTGGAAATAATATCAATTTAAATATTTTTGGTATCTGTTTCTAAATTTAAAAAACTCGCCCTCATATCATTCCTATCATGTATAACTGACTTTCTTCTGTGGAACACAAAATAAGATATTTTGAAAGTCACTGGGGTCCAAACAACATTTTAGCCCATTGACTTTTATTGTATGGACAAAAAATAAAATAAAATACTTTTTTCAAAATATTATTTTGTGTGTATATAATTTTATGTTCCAGAAAAGAAGAATGTCATACAGGTTTGGAACGACATGAGGGGGGAGTATGATGGATGAGAGAACACAACATTATGATCATGGTGTTGGTTTGTGCCTCAAAACTATGGATTCAAATGTTTTAGAAGTGATTTAATTCTCAGTACACTCTACTAATGCCACATTTGAGTAAAAATATAGGTATTTATATTGCATTTATAAGTATCGCTGCTTAATCATCATAGGTAGGTGATGTTAATGTTATTTTTCCTTGAGAAATAAATTCCTGTATTGTCAATAGTGTGGAGCATTAGTGTGGAGCTGCAGACTGCTGTGCTGTTCATGTGCAGTTACATACAGTTTGACCCTGAGGAGGTGGCCTGATTATAGTGCTGTGCTTGTGTCATGTCAAGCGTCAGATCATTGTGTATGTTTGGAGCTTCACTACTCTTGTGCCGTGCACTTCCAGGAACTACAGCAGCAGCCAGGAGGATTTGACCTCCCTGTTTCCGCATGGAGAGACTATAGACTCTCATTCCTTCTGTCTCTCCCACCCTTTTCTCTTTCTTTCTTTCTTTCTTTCTTTCTTTCTTTCTTTCTGTTATTGCCCTGTTGGATTGTTCCTTTGCCATGGTAACTTTAGTTTGGGAATATAAAGGCCACTTGTTGGCTTGGGTGCATTTGTCTGGGAGAGTGAAAGAGTGACCTGGAGCTGTCTTTCAGTCTTTAATGACCCTCAACAAAGAGAAAATCATGGAACATCCCAGTTCTCTGTTACTCTCTGTCTCTCTCTCTCTCTCTCTCTCTCTCTCTCTCTCTCTCTCTCTCTCTACGTTTGGAAAAAAATGTTGTGTTGGGTTGATAATGATGTGTTGTCTTTTTCTGAGATTATGGGATAATGTAATGAGGTGTTTTGTAATGTTTTTTTGGAGTTTTGTATTTAATAAAGGTGTTATCAATTCAAAATTCTCTCTCTCTCTCTCTTTCTGCCTCTCTCTCTCTCTCTCGGTCTCTCTCTGTCTGTCCTGTTTCCTGTGCTTCTTTTCAGGGGCACTTCAATGGAGCTTTGGAGTTTGTTCTTTCTCTCTGTGTTGTAGTTTCCAGTCCTTCACTTTCTTTAAGCTTTTGCAATAGTATTAGAGGATATTTCTAATACTTATATGGCAATCAGGAAATGAGAACAGACAAAAATATTGTATGATAACATTTGCTTTTGAGTTTGAGTCATGTTGTCAGCAATGCGTCAGCATAGCCAAGTTTAGCATCACATGAAAAACTCTGGATTGTTACTCATAAGTGTGTTTCATGGTGTGTGCGCATTCAGATGTGAAGCCGTTGCTTACGTTTCCATGATCATCTGCTTGCGCTCCTCAAACATTAATAACCTGCATTGAGAAATCATGACCTTTGGACGAAGCTTATTTACAGAGACTCCTCTGGTCATTTTCCTCTGTGGACCGTTTCCTCCACCTGAGGATGAGGATGTACTAATGCAGATTGTTTTCCGGCGCATTTAGATCAGGGATGGGTCATGATGATGATAATGACGATGAACTAATCACATAGTTAAAAAAAGGAGGTCAACTAGTAAATCTAAATTTTTATATTTAGTCTTTTATGTTCACCAAGGCTGCATTAATTTGATCAAAAATACATTAAAACAGTAATATTGTGGAGTAATATTACAAACAGCTGAATTTTCAGCAGCCATTACTCCAGGCTTTAATGTCACATGATCTTTCAGAAATCATTCTATTATGCTGATCTGCAGCTCATGAAACCTTTCTGATTATTACAATGTTGAAAATAGATTCTTTGATGAGTAGAAAGTTCAAAATAACAGCATTCATTTGAAATAGAAATCTTTTGTAACACTATAAAGTTTTTTACTGTAACTTTTGCTTAAATTTAATGCATCAGTGCTGAATAGAAGCATTAATTTCTTTAAAAATCTTTCTGACCCCAAATTTGTAAAATGTTTTCCTTTCCTGTATAGTCTGCATGTTTGCAGTGTGACTACATCAAGCACAGTAAGACCATTAACCACTCTCTGCACCGAGGTCTCTATGTGTCCAGCAGGGCAGAGTTCACATACTCTGTGTCCAGTGTTCACTCAGGTTTCTCTTTGGAGAGCTCCGCTCGCCTCAGTGTGAGTTGTAGCTGAGGTTTGGCTGAGGATGCCATGGACAGCAGCCATCAGCATTAGGCTCTGTAATGAAGAGAGGACTGAATCCACACAAATGTTGAAATCTACCCAAAAGCCTTTTTACAGACACAGAGAACTTCCAGTGTGGGAATGACTGAACAGAGCAGTGTTTATAAAGATCTAAGGAGTTGACTTGAAAATATACTCGCTAAACTTACATGATTCAACAGCTTTTGAAACAAACCGAGCTCCTAATTTTAGTTTTTTTTGCTCTTCAGTGGGTCAGAATGACTATATGAGGTATTATATTAGTATAATCATTGTAGCACATCTAATAAATAACTCTCTCTAATTTTTTGTGTGTGACAGGGATTTTTGGACTGTGGAAGAATCTGTAATTGCATTGCATTCCCTCTCATCCAACGTACACACCCCGTGATATCCTGAAGCCCTCTCCAACAGGACCAGGAGGCACCTGAGGCAAAAAGTGCTGAAAGAGTGAATACAGAACGAAGAAGGATCATAAAGGACATGCACAGAATGCTGCTCTGGAGGGGAGAGCAGAAGTGTTCTGCACTGGAATGACCTCCCATACACTCTCACGTGGTTTCAATGGGGATTTCAGCATAGCCGCACTCTGCTGGATGGGAGGTGGTGTATTTCTGTGGCATCTGATTGCTCTGCTCTGATTGGCCAGTACTATTCAGTTGCCACACTGCCGTTGGTCAGAATGCCAGCAAAAGGGAAGTACTTGCTGAACGAGCAGGAGTTGAAACAGGAAGCACTGTACAGTAAATTTTCTGGCATTGGCCACTACCAGCCATTCGTTCTGTTGCTGGGACTGAGCATGCTCACCTGTGTCATACTGCTAGTGCTCTTCTTCAGCCTGAAACTGGTGAGATGCCACGTTCATGCAAATGCACTCATACAATATGCATGCTTACACACGCCCACAATCAAAGGTCAAACGCCAACCCACGCAAGTGTGCGCTGTTGAACAAGTCACTTAAAATTAGGAAAGACATTAACTGTCACAGAAAAAGTCAATATTTAACATGTGCCGGATCTGTTTTGTCTTTGCTGTTCAGATGGTTTCTGATGATTGAAGCAGCCTCTCTTACATAATCCTGCAGCCACTGAGGTGCTGATCCTCTGTAGTTGCGTAATTTAAAGTCTGATGATCACAATGCTGATGTGAACTGGCATTATGCGTGACAGGAAATTGAGTGTTTTAATTGTAATAATTGGCAGTTCATGCCAGGTCCATCAGAATGTTTTTTTTTCCTCTGGGAATTTGTAGCACATTGTATAATAATCTCTCTCTCTCTCTTTATTTCCTCTGTTACATTCTCACATAAACTCGCACATAAACTCTGGAGTCAGCAGGATGTGAAGAGGGGCTGTGAACGCTCCTTCCGTACCGCTGTTGTTCATCTCTTTAGCCGTTAAGCACTATACCATCTGTATGAACTTCTGTAACCTTCTCTCAACACCAACCGGCCGTGGGAGGAACAGAATTACAACCAGTGTGGCTCTCTGTGTGTGGGCATGTATGTGTGTGTGTTGTGTTTTACTATTTATTTGAAGTTTCACAAAGCCCATAGGATGATGGGAGTATGTAGGTTTGTGTGTGTGTTTCTTGTGTGTGCTTGTGGACTGAGGTATGTATCTCTGATGTGTTTGAAAGTTGTAGCTCAGTGGTAATTCGGAGTGGTTGACTTAACTGGGTGAACATGAGTGGAGGACTCTACCCACTGCGGTGAGTGTGTATATTGGTGTGTGGGTGAGTGGTGGGGTCGAACTAGTGCTGTGATTTGCCCACTTAGGTAGGGGCTTGTTGTCTGATAGTGTTATTTAATCATTTTACTTTGTCCTTTGTTTACTCTGACTCTATATATAATCAATGACTGGTGTAGAGATTATGGTACTGTTCAAAAGTTTGAGGTTGGTAAGATTTATGTAATTTATAATTAATGTTTTTGAAAGTCTCTTTTGTTCACCAAAGCTTGTTCATTGATCAAAATATAGTAAATATAGTACTTTTGATCAATTGAATTCTCCACCAAACAAGTATTTCCAAATGAAACCACAGCAGAATAGACCATTGCACATCTCAGAGCAAACACACTGTAGTGTCTTAGAACTATCTGCATAGTAAATGATTCAATGACTCACTCATAAGTCACTTGTTTTGTTCCTGAGTGAATTGATGAATTTGAATGTATCGGTTGAGTAGATTATTTAAATGACTCACTCATAAAGACAGTCAGTTGTTGTCATGTACTGGTTTATTGATGTAACCTGCCAAAAGACTCACTAAAAAATCCCCACCACTAATTCACAGCCTGTCTGGAATGTGCAAACATCAAATCCGAAGACCGGAAATAACTGTTGTGTATATATACTGTGTATAGTAAATATATATATATATATATATATATATATATTTCCCTTGTTGTAACTTTGTGTTGCAGCTATTAATGCTTACTCAGATGGGTGCCGATAGCCTCGTTGGCACAATTTGGCAGCGCGCCGACATATAGTGCCGTTTTGCTTTGGGTATCCTAAATTTGAGTCCCAGGTTGTGGACCTTGCCTGATCTTGTCCCCTTCTCTCTCTCCCACTTCGCTTCCTGTCATCATACTGTACTATCATAATAAAGGCAAAAATGCCAAAAAATTAATCTTAAAAAAAAATGCTCACTCAGATGGTGTCTGGTTTTAAACTAGTGTTAGCTTTGTGACAGATGGCATGAAGTGATCTCTGGAGCTTTTAAGGATTTTTGGCTTCTATGTTTTTATGTTTGAGTTTTTCTGCCTTTAGGGGGAAAAATAGTGTGGGAAGCAATAGTCCCTTAACGGCTCCATGACAACTAATGTGCAAAACATTTCCCTTGTTGTAACTTTGTGTTGCAGCTATTAATGCTTACTCAGATGGGTGCCGATAGCCTCGTTGGCACAATTTGGCAGCGCGCCGACATATAGTGCCGTTTTGCTTTGGGTATCCTAAATTTGAGTCCCAGGTTGTGAACCTTGCCTGATCTTGTCCCCTTCTCTCTCTCCCACTTCGCTTCCTGTCATCATACTGTACTATCATAATAAAGGCAAAAATGCCAAAAAATTAATCTTAAAAAAAAAAAGCTCACTCAGATGGTGTCTGGTTTTAAACTAGTGTTAGCTTTGTGACAGATGGCATGAAGTGATCTCTGGAGCTTTTAAGGATTTTTGGCTTCTATGTTTTTATGTTTGAGTTTTTCTGCCTTTAGGGGGAAAAATAGTGTGGGAAGCAATAGTCCCTTAACGGCTCCATGACAACTAATGTGCAAAACTAATGTTTCCAAGATAGACTGCATACACAAACATGTAGACGCACACACATTCACAAAGTTTTTCTAGATAGAGCATTAGCAAATTTCTTTTGAACAGTGCTCTTTATTTTTTCAAAGCATGACATACACCCACTTCCACACACATACTGCTTTTTCTAAACCCCTTGAATGAGCTGGCTTATGTGATATGTATGTTTACCTCTAACACCTTGCTCTCTCCATGTGTGTATGTGTGTGTGTGTGTGTGTTTCAGGATGCAAATGTCCATGGTGTATTTGTGGGAGTTGTGGGAGGAGCGTTGTGTTTGTTCCTGGCTGTGTTTATATTAATCTGTACAGAGACCCTCTCTCAGAGATGGAGAACTTTACTCGGCCTCGCTGTGTGGGCCACACACCTCACAATGGGCTTCACCTTTATTTTCAGCGCAGAAACCGAAATACCAATACAACCATGGGACCAGGTAACACATACTAGCTATAATATTTTATTTAGATTTCACATGACAAGAGTAGTTTTTAAAGGGCACCTATTATGCAAAATTCACTTTTAAATGTTGTTTGGACATAAATGTGCGTTGGCAGTGTGTGAATACAACCACACTATAATGATAAAAATCCACCCACTCCTTTTTGTTAATCCCCATAAATCATAAGCAGTGTCTCAGAACAAGCCGTTCGCAAAATCTGTACGGTGTGACGTCATGTTTATCATCAAGCTAGAGCATTTAAAAACAGCATTCAAGTAAGAAATGTCATCTTATTAAAGCTATAGAAGTTATTTGGTCAAGAGCAGTGAGTGATTTTGTTTTTATTTTATTGTTTGGGTCATATTAACAGCGCAGACAGCAGTAGGTACTGCATATAACGCTGCTGTCACAGATCTAATATAAACATGAAATTACTTTCAGACATAACTGACTGTGTTTATGTAACATATGTGTGTTTTTGACATTACCTTGTGTGTATTTGACAGTTTAAATGCAATAAGACATTAGTCTTAATAGAAACAAGTTAGTTTACACTGATATGGCTTTACAATGCATGATTTCAGCACGATATACATGATAATCAAAACTAGACAGATGTTTTGTTTTGGTAGAGTATCTGAGGTGTGAGCTGTAAAAGCACAGCCCTATTCTGGAAAAGTGGGCGGGGAACAGCAACTCATTTGCATTTAAAGATACATGCACGGAAACAGCGTGTTTCTGCTTCCACTTAAAATGGTCATTTTAAAAATTATATAATAAAAGATCTGTGGGCTATTTTGAGCTGAAACTTCACAGACACATTCTGGGGTCATCTGAGAATTGTATTACATCTTGTAAAAAGGGGCATAATAGGTGCCCTTTAAAGAAGGAGCATTCTTACGTGTTCTCTGTCATGCATTGAGACATTTAATATTGGCAGTAACCGGTAATTTAATACTTTCATCTTATTCTCTCCAGGTGCCCTTCTTCCTCTTCATCATCATTATTGTCTACACAATGCTACCATTCCAAATGAGCTACGCTGTGACCCTGAGTATCATCTCCTCTCTGTCTCACATCATTGTTCTTTCGGTGCACCTCACAGTGGTCGAGGTATCCTCCAAACTCTCCAATCATCTCATCACCAATCAGGTAAAAGACTGGTTTCTGATTGGTTGAAAGGTTTACAGCTTCAGCAAACCTATATGAAAAGAAGCTGAAAAGGATGTAACATCTCAATGTTAAAAGTCAGTTTTCCTCTCCCTCTCCCTCTCTAGTTGCTATCAAATACTGTGGTGTTTGTTTGTGGAAATATGGTTGGTGCATTTCATAAGGTTCTGATGGAGAAAACTCTCAGGCAGACATTTCAGGATACTCTTCGCTGCCTTGGCATTCGCATGAAACTGGAGATTGAGAAGAGACAGCAGGTGCTCATACAACTTCACTCCAACAAATCAGAGACACAGCCAAAGCAAACATATAGGAGAAACAAATGCAAATAATGCTCTGTGTAAAAATACATACTTATGTCTGTTATGCAAGAGTATCAAATGATCTGTTTTATAGAATTTTTGTGACTTCAAATTTGTTATTGTACAAACATGGGTTAAGTTTTTTTTTAAATGAGACCACATTTTTCAGCTGTAACAAAAGCCCTAAGTGTGCTTCAGTTTTGATGTGAACACTTGGTGTACAGCCGAATCAGCCTTTCAAAGTATCCTCCATTTGTGAGTGTACACGAACTCAGTTGGTCACAGACAGAACACACAGACTAGAAATAGATACAGTAGCACTAGAAAGTTTAAACTTTGTTCAGTGTCTGCGCTATTTCTCTCCAGAAGTTATAACTGATTTTCACACATAAGTGAGCTGAGCATAAAGAGTACACGTCTTTAGTAAAATGGCTGCGCACGTAAAATATGCACGTACTATGCACTAATTGAAATTTGCACCATGCATATTGTATGAATACCCTAGTGTACACTTTAAAACATAAGTATACTTTAGTCTTAAGTCCATCTTTCCCACAACACTCTAGCAGCCCCATACTGTAGCTTTCAAGCTAATTTCTCTTTAAATAAAACAAACTTTGAATTTATCTTCAGTCTGCTCATGTATTCAAACTAAATAAGGCTTAAACAACCTTCACCTTAAATGAACTTTTTAATATTGACTTTGGAAATTTTCTCTTGAAATTTTTTGATTTTTTTTTTATATAATGATTTTATATAATGGTTAATTCATCTTCAAATCTAACAGCTGATGGGTATATTAGACATTGAAAAGTGAATCAAGGAGGTTTCTACTGAAATAGTCTTAACTTTTTGTATAGTTTTTAAACTTCTTTTTGTTTCTTGGTTTGTTATGAGTGTTGTCGAAGAAGTGACATCTTGTATGGAGAGCAGTGAAAAGCAGGGTAGAGTTTAATGACTGGCTGTTAACCTCCCTGACGGTATATGTTCAGAATAATAAATCTCACAAACAATGGTGAATCCTTAAAACAAACATTTATAAACACTGGGCAATAGTGTCCTTACAAGACACAGTAAAATCCTTCTTCTGAATGAAACCGTATAATCTGTTAGTTTCCCATTACCCTCTCATAGTCCAGATCTCTTAGCCTGTTGGCACTTAAGCTGTTACAGTCAAACAACAGTTGAAACTGAGAAAGAATAGGACACTCAAAATTAGACAGGAATTGAATTGAATTTAAAGAAAATAATATGTTAAAAAATAAATGTTTAATTCACAGACAGACTTTAACAGTAAACAGGATGATTTCACGGGCATTATCTTTAAATGTGTGTATGTGTTTTTTGTGCTGTAGGAAAACCTTTTACAGTCAGTGCTTCCTGTGTACATCTCCATGAAGATGAAGTTGGCCATAATGGAGCGCTGCAAGTGTAAAGATAAAGAGGAACAGCAGCGTATGGTCCGTGACAACAACTTCCACAGTCTTTACGTGAAGAGACATGAGAACGTCAGGTAACACGTCGTGTGCTCACACACACATATACATCGTCATACATATCTAGAGCTGTCTGTGTGTTGTTCTGCGTTTCCATGCACTAATTTAACCCTTCCTCATTAATCAAGTCCTGAGAGTGAATGAATGGTCAGTCTGTTAGCCTCAACTATCAGAGTGCTCATCATGAGGCCACTAATTTAATTAGTTTTATTTCCCATCAACCCCAAGAGTGAAGATGGGGGATGGGGTGCATCTATTAATATTCTTTGTCCCATGTTCACAATGCTTGGTTCTCAGGCAGCTGTTTATATTTAGATAGACGGCTTGTTTGTCTCCCATTACAGCTGCTCAGATAGAACACAGATTCACTCACCTGTGTGTGTGAGCAAACAATAGAGAGCTGTTCACCTGCCGAAAATCATGGGGCCTGCTCTCTTTTTGAACTTGTTCATTAGGAGTGTGATGACATGGATTGTGTGTGTGTGTGTGTTTGGTCCTGTAGTCAGCATTGAGAACAGCTGGGTCTTCAAGGTTAATTTCCATGAGCTGTGTTTATGAAGTTTTTATACTTTTCTGGGCGTTAAGACAGCTGACACTGAGCTGCTTCTGTTCTCCTCATTAAAAAATACTCGGCACAATCATAACTTCTAAATGCCGCCTCTTCATATTTGACCTGACCTGAGATTCAAACTAGCAAGCATGTTTTCCCCTTTGTTTCAGTTCCAGAATTGCCTACAAAAACACATAAGTGTGTCTCTTTTTGTCTGCTTTCTGCTAGCATCCTATATGCTGACATAGTGGGTTTCACACGTCTGGCCAGTGACTGTTCTCCTAAGGAGCTTGTGATCATGCTGAATGAACTTTTTGGGAAATTTGACCAGATTGCAAAAGTAAGTATAACTATATAGGACTTAATGCAATATAATTATGCGCTTATGCTCAACATTTATTTGGTCAAAAGTACAGTAAAAATAGTAATATTGGCAAATATTAATACAATTTAAAATAACTTATTTACATGAATATGTTTTAAAATGTCATTTATTTCTGTGATGGCAAAGCTGAATTTCAACAGCCATTACTCCAGTCTTCAGTGTCACATGACCCTTCAGAAATAATATGCTGATGTGATGCTCAAGAAACATTTCTGATTATTATCAATGATGAAAACAGTTCTGCTGCTTAATATGTTTGTGGAAACATGATGAACAGAGTGTCTAAAAATAACAGCATTTATTTCATATAGAATTCTTTTGTAACGTCATAATGGTCTTCACTCTTAACTTTTGATCAATTTAATGTATCCTTGCTGAATTAAGGTATTTTAAACTGACCCCAAACTTTTGAATGGCACTTTCATTATATATTATATAATGAAATTGATTAAAATTCAATCTTATTATCAGTCAGTTTGGTGCCTAAACAAATCAAATATCATTGGTGATTTAATAAATTAGATACTTGTGCTCTGAATTGTACATATTAGTTGTCCTTGAAGATGACTAGTATCTGCTTGTGTGTGTTCCCCTGTAGGAGAATGAGTGTATGCGGATAAAAATTCTTGGTGACTGTTATTACTGTGTGTCTGGCCTCCCTGTTTCCCTGCCAAATCATGCCAAAAACTGTGTTAAAATGGGCCTGGACATGTGTGAAGCCATCAAGTAAGTCTCTAATCATTATTAGCACAGCATTTCTCCGTATAGTGTTTTTCCTAGCACTGGCCAAGATATGTGGCAGATGACAGGCTGAATATTTTCCTAATCACTTGCAGGCAGGTGCGTGAGGCGACAGGTGTGGATATAAACATGCGTGTAGGTGTGCACTCTGGAAATGTCCTCTGCGGTGTGATTGGCTTACGGAAATGGCAGTTTGATGTGTGGTCACATGATGTCACCTTAGCCAATCATATGGAGTCAGGTGGATTACCAGGGTATGAACAATAAAATCGCTTATCAATCAAGAACTTTTTAAGCTGCATTCAGAGTACTGTCCGTATTAATGTCATGTCATCTCCATAAGATGCTACATTTGCGTTTTCTCCATTAGCCGAGTTCACATCACAGAGGCGACTCTGAAGCACTTGAACAAAGCGTATGAGGTGGAGGAGGGGAATGGTCACCTGAGAGACCCCTACCTCAAAGAGCTTAACGTCAAGACGTACCTGGTCATAGACCCACGGGTAGAAACTTTAAATCATACATTATTAGTGTGTGCCTGCCACATACAGTATATGTCACTGTATGTGAATCTGAACATGTTGATGTGGTGTTTATGTTTAGTCAAAAGACTCATCACTGATGGCTCCCAGTGTCACCAAGCCTCGTGTGAGTGATGGTTTGAAGATGCGAGCATCTGTGCGTATGACACGCTTCCTGGAGTCGTGGGGGGCTGTTAAACCTTTTGCCCATCTGCAGAGCCGAGAGGAATTCAGCACAGATGCTGTGGTCAATGGAAAGGGTCGTTGCAAGGTCAGAAACGCATGAATGAGTGCTCAAAAATGAGAATTGACCTCATGACAGAAAAATGACAGACATCCCAAACAGCCAATCAAATCACTGTGCTGATAAGCCTCGTTGTTATCTGCCATTTTGTCCGTCAAACTGTGTGATAAAACTCCTTTTTGGCAAATTCCCAGCATAAAAAATAAAAAGTGTTACATACAGTGAAAAGATGCAAGACCGTGTGAACAACTAAACGGTGAAATTTTAAAATGATCGTCCAAAACCAAAATGTTTGTATAAAAGAAAAATTGTTGAATACAGGACAGTTGATATTTTTTGAAAAGGGATGTTCTTTCATTTTACAGTTATTTTCCCAATTAATTACTACATACATGCGGCCAACATATGTTTGCATCTGCAGAAGCATCCGTTGCACGTTACCTTTGTCTTAATGTCAGGATTTATAATGTCAACTTTCGGCTTCTTAATATTTGAGTAGATTTTACTATTTTTTTCTTGTCTTCTACCATTATATTGTTTCATCATAACAACCTGTTAAAAACGTGTGTGCTTTTGTTTTTGCATTTGAAGTACTGTCATTTATTCATCAGGTGCATTAGTGAGCGAGATGACTTTCAACGTCATTTTCTTTGACAGACATACAGTAGATAGAGTACCCATGCTTCAAAAGCGGTGACAGTGTTTAAGTAATGCTGTCATAGGGTAATATTTTCATTATTACATTTACACAAAGTTATGGGGTTCCAAACCTGTGTGCTGTTATTTTTGTGGAACATAAAAGGAGAATCTTTTTTTTTTCATTGTGACCACGACTGTCAAGCTTCATAAAAGGACCAAATGCACGAAAGTAGTGTATTTGATTTGTTTGCTATATTCGCTTTTTATAAATGACTTTTGTGTGATGGATTGAACAGTTCGAAATGCCAGTCTATTAATTCTGTTATTCACACAAATATATCAAATGGAGCCAGAAAACATAATTATTTGGACTACTCAATGGTGTCTTTTGGTCAAAAACTGATCTTTGTATGCAGATCATGTGTTGATGATGACAGCAACTCTCTATGAACGATGCTTAAGTTTGTCTCTCCCTTTAGGACATCCCTCTTAGATCAGTACCGACCAAAATTACAGAGAGGTGAGTTGTGTTTGTGTCATCTGTGTGTCTGTTTTGTGTGTGTCTCAAAGGGGGAAAAAAACAAGGTGTATTGCCTGGTCTTGCTGACTGAAGCAGCGATGTTGAAGTTGTCTTTCTCACTGTTGCTCTCTGACAGCTTTGATGAGTCTCTTGAGGAGTCCTTGTCTTTACCTGCCCCTCCCTTGAGCATATATAAGTGAGTGGAGCCATACTGGCTCAGCCAGCTCTATGGGGCCCGTAGTTTCAACACTAACAATGCAAACGCTCAATGAGCCACTGCTAACTGGTTATACGGTTAGCATGACCATAGCTGCACTCCCGCAGTACACCTGTAGTGTGTTTCCAGATTATAGTGCACTTTGGGCTTAGAAAAGCTTGTGTGTTTCTGCTTGCAAAGAGAGAGAGAGAGAAAGGAAACAGAATTTTCCTTCCTGAGCCGTGTTGAGGCACATTGCAAGGGGACACTTGCAATCTCTCTCAGGGAATTAAACTAACACACGGCATCCTGCCTCACACATATTTGCACAGACACAAATACAAACACCATCTCAATTCTCCAAAAAAAAGAAAGATCTATTTAGATCCTTTAACTACACAAAGCATTAACTGCAAAACTAGTCAAGTCAAGCCACTTATAACTACAGACTTCACACATATATTCACCCAAGCTTCCCCTGAACTGGCTGCAGTCAAATATAACTCAATAACAGCATGACAACAGTTATGAACATCTTTCCTGTTCCCCAGTGCTCATGCACATATAGACATGTGCATTGTGTGTGTGTGTGTGTGTGTGTGTATGTGTTACTTCATGGGTACAAAGTGTGTTTCTGTCTCTATGATTTGTGTATGCTGTCTCTGTAGGAATAAATCACAGAAGACTAAGTTTGATGAAGAACTTTACGACAAGATGACCACCACCATCAATGATTTGAGCTCCAGCAAGTTAGTCATAAACAAGCACATAAAATCATTTTTGGATGGAATTAAGCCCGGTTTGGTTAAAGTTGTACATTTAGTATGCATGAAAACGAGTGAAGAGAGTTTTTTTTGTGTGTGTGTGTATGTGTGTGTGTGTGTGTATGTGTGTGTGCAGGCAGTGGGTAAAGTCTGAAGAGAACTCTGGCCTCACACTGTGGTTTACTAAAATAGACCTGGAAAAGCAGGTAGATATCTTACTGTGGGCTTAACTTAAATGTCCTAACATTTCATTGTTTCATACACTGTGTATTTAAAAAAATAACAAATACCACAAATAAATGAATATTAAAGTATGTGTGTGTGCTTCTCTCAGTACAGGACTATAGAGATGCCAAACTTTAAATACTACATTGGTTGTGCCACCTTCGTCTTTTTATGCATCTTCATCATCCAAATGCTTGTTACCAAGCAGTAAGTGTCATGAATACAAGCTGAACACCATAGACAGACTCGATTTAACACTTTGGTGCTGAACGTGTCTTCATATGTTACAACCATTTGCCCTCTTTGTCTCTCTCTCAAAGGCGTAAAAAGCTGGGGCTGGCGTTTGCGGTGTTGGCGTGTGTTCTGCTTTTGGCTCTGTGCATCTGTTTTGCAGGTCATATACAGGTTAGACCACCACTGCCTTCCTTTGCCTTAGCACAGACATTCAGTTGGTCCTATGGGTTCTGGGGTATGTTTGTGTGTCCAGCACAATAAAGGTCTACCCCTGTGGTTTTAAAGATGCTGCAGCATGCAGTGCCTCTCTTGCTGTGCACTGTGCTGTAATGTGGAGAATGTCATTTGCTGTGTCCATTGTTGTCACTGACTTGTACTGGAATGTGAAATAACGAAAAACAGACTGACATTTGCTACAGTGTCACAAACATAAATACATATACATACCATGACATGTGAGTCGCCCATGCATACAGTGTTCCTCCCAGTGTCCTCTCTGCCCCATGCATTCAAACACACTGTTGCGTTTTCCAACACATTCTGGCTTCTGTAACCTTGAGAGCTTTTGCTTAGGTCAAATCCAGCTCTGTCTTTTTTTTAAACAGCTGTTTTTTCCCTTCTTTTCCCTTTTTATTTCTCAGAGGATGTTTCCGGAGAAGTTAAAGTCATGTACGTGGCTCTCGGCTCTTTCAGAAGCAGTGGTTAAGAGACCTTTTCTGCGCCTCCCATTGGCAACCGTGGCCACCGCAGTCATAGTCATCATTGCCATGTTCAACTTTGTAATGCTTTTTATAATGCTTAGACAATATTGTTGGTATATGTTTTTGTTGAAGCACTACAAAAGTAGGTTCACCTCTTAACATTGTTGCTCATCAAACTTTTTCACTCCACAGTATTTTAAAACCCCAGAGAATTTATGTGACACTTTGCGACAAAATAACAACACCGTTCCCGATCTACCTTTTGTAGATGACCTTCCATATTTGCCTGTGAGTAGCAAGCACACAAACACACACACACACACACACACACACACACACACACACACACACACGTTTACTTGGATAGCTACATGGAGACATACTCTAAACTTCTATTGTTTTTATATGTAGCTAATTATGAATACTCTAATTCCAGATTATAACCCTAACAAATTATTTGCATTATTATTTATTACATTATTTTCTTTATTTATTTCTCATCTTTGTGAATGAGGATGTTTGATGTCCCTGATTTGAGATTGTGAGATAGTTATAACTGTTGACACTACTGTACAAATATGACTCTTTTTGTTTCTGTATGATTTTGTCTTTCCAGTATTCTGTATATAACTGTATATTGGCATTGATCGCCTGTGGCGTGTTTTTGAGGGTGAGTTTGGAACTGAAGGTGGTCTTCCTCTTCATCGTCTCTACCGTTTCCTACATAATCATCTTCTACTCTCAGGAAAATCTCTTCAGCAGCTACAGCTGCCTGCTCTACACCAACCACAGCAGGTACACTCTCACGAACACGCATGCATTTGATTGTCAAATAATTTTTTATTATTGCATATTAAATTGTAGATACTTATTTCCCCCCCTCCTCCATTTAGATTAGCTTTGCCATCTTTTAACACTCACTTAAAGTTAATCTAATAATGTTTGAATAACACTGTTAACATTGCGAAATAACACTGATGACAATTTTTTGTAGATTTCAATAAAAAATGCATACGGGACTTTTAAAACAATTGATTTTAGTGTTTTATTTTACATTTATTTAGATAAAATAGAAAAAACTTTTAATACTGGCAATTTATCAGTCCTAACATGGAAATAATTATCAGTATTGGCCAGAATTTTAATATTGGTGCATCTCTAGTATAATCATGTCCAGTGTTTGTCTTTTGTAGTGTGGAGGACAGTTTGATGGTGTTCAAAGCAGGACTTATGAAGCACCCAAAACTCATGAGCTGCATCTACATCACACTCTTCCTCATTACCATGCTGCTCATATCCCACCAGGTACACACCTCATACCACACACACCTTAAACATGCCATACTGTCAGGGCAGAGAGTTACGCCCATCCTTGCTCTGTCCGTTCTCTCTTCCTCTCAGAATGATTACTGCTATCGTCAGGACTTCCTGTTGAAGAACAAGAACCTGGCCGATAAGGAAGAAGTCGAGCTGTGCGAAAACCTGAACCGTCTTCTTTTGGAGAATGTTCTCCCTGCGCACGTGGCCGCTCTCTTCGTGGGCGAGAACAAAAAGAATGAGGTGGGGCTGCTGTCCACTATCTCTTTACTAAACCGGAAATACAAGGTAGGAACCGGCTTCGAATGGGTGGGATGAGTCTGTATATCACCCTCTCATGTCTCCCATACAAGACCAGACATATACCAGTGATTCCCAACCATGGGTACCTAAGCCGGTTCCAAAGGGCACTTGGAAAGATTTTGATTTAGCTTTGTTGAATATTTAAAACAGAAACAAATGTTAATTCATTAAAATGACTAACTTTGAATAATTTCATGGTTTTGCAGATCTTTTTAAGGAAACAAAATAATGTGTGAAAGATGAATGTTTGTAAGAGCCTTATAGATTGGGCTGTGGCAGTACGTAAGACAAAAAAGGTTGGGAAACACTGCCATATACCACAGAAGATAATATCATGCAATACTCCACCATACCATTCCAATATCATACTCTAAGATCACAGTGTGCACTATACAGAGAATCCCACACTGTATTTTATAGCAACCTCTCAACCATTTTCTACCACAGTCTATACTATACCATACCATAATTAAGAGAGATTCAAAACTTAGGCCTGATTTAATTATTGTGATTTTTTTATTTTTTATTTACAATGGTTTTTATTCCTCCCTGATCTGCATTCTTACAAGAAATGTTAGCGTATTATTACAGTTATCTAAAAGTGCAATGGTTTTGTCTTATTTCCTTTTTCTCACTGTCCAGAAATACTTTTATGTTAATTTAACACACTGCTGGTCCCTTTTGCGGGTCTGTGAGATTTTTTTATGTTTTTGGAAGAAGTCTTCAGTGTCACATAATCCTTCAGAAATCATTCTAATATGCAGATTTGGTGCCCACAATTTTTTTATGATAAATCGAAAGTTCAAAAGAACCTCATTCTTTTTAGAAATAGTTTTTTTTTTTCTTTTGGACCAATGTAAGTCTTTAACTCAAACCTGACCTTTGATCAATTTAATGTCCTTGCTGAATAAAACTATTAATTTATTTAAAAAAAAATCTTACTGACCCTTTGAACAACAGACCAATTTATAGATTTTCTTTTTCATTTTGTTTTCTTACTGTCTAATTTGCAGGTTTTTTATGTGTCTCAGTACATTTAGTCTTGTGCCTCTCTGATTTTTGAGTGCATTTAGTGAAAATGTTCTTTTTGTTACTCAAAACACCCACATAATTTGTCATGAATCAATCATGCCTCATACCTTTACACATGTATTTACATAGTCTGTGAATGTCCTGTCATAAACCGTTTTTTTTGTTGTTGTTGTTGTTGTTGTTTTTTGTCTGTTGTACCATGTGAATGACTGCGACACAGAAGAATTGAGCTCTTGCTGCATGTGTCTTTCTGATCCTCTTCTCCAGGACCTGTACTATAAGTCATATGACTGCGTATGTGTGATGTTTGCCTCGGTGCCAGACTTCAAAGAGTTCTACACTGAGTGTGACATAAATAAAGAAGGACTGGAGTGTTTAAGGCTCCTCAATGAGATCATCGCCGACTTTGATGAGGTCAGAGTGATGTCATGTCTCATGTCTCAAAGCATATGCATTTGTGCTGCTTTTCTGTGATCTCCTTATTCCAGTCTTTCTTCTTCTGACATTCCCTGAATGATTGAATGAATGAATGACTCATTGAATATGAATAGTGCTCTGCCAACATCCAAAATACTTTGTTCTAAGGACGTCACCTCAGCTATCACATGGGTAATTTGATGAAATGAGGCAGCCGTTGTGTAAATGTACACTCATATCACTTCAACTGCTTACTTGTGTGAGCTGCTTTTGGATTGAGGATTCAGCAAGAAACAACCAGGACTTGTTGGTGATCACTGCCACAACAAAGCTCTGGGTTGACTGACCACACAAAAGTTTAGGCCAACAGTTCTGGCAGCAATTTGGTTCACCGAGAGGGATCTAAATACAGGTTTCACATATTGATAGTGCTGAGTTTCAGTGTGAATCCTCTCATACTCTCTCTGTCATTTAATGTGAGATAACATGGCATGGATTTCTACTGCTCTGAAACACTGATATCCACTTGGCCCTTGCCTCCTCTCCTTACCTGCAGTTGCTGTCTAAGCCCAAGTTCAGTGGTGTGGAGAAGATTAAAACCATCGGCAGCACGTACATGGCTGCTGCGGGACTGAGTGGACCTCCAGAACAGAGCAGCCAGGTACTGCACTACATAGTGTATGCAAAGACACCCCATACCACTATATAAACATCTAGAGCAAAGGGAATTCAAACACATAAATCTCAATAAATGCATTCTTAAAATGCATAAACGATTACACTGCGTTAATTTCTCAACTGTCTTTACCTCTCGGGTATCTTGTGTATATTATATTTAAGAAAAAGTGAAGGAGGATGCTCTCTCATGCTAATTGTAGGTTTAGAAACCAGTTCATTTTGTGTTAAATTGTCAGCTTTTGCTGTCATACTTTTGACATTTGGTAGCTACTAAATGGAAAGCCTGCAGTCTGTCACTGTGCACCAATCAGTGATGGCGGCATTTGCATATCCTGAGGCTTAGCTTCAGAATTACTAAGAAAGAAATTTAACTGAATCGCAAAACCTTTTGTGAATTAAATAGATAAATCTGATCAATCCACACATTAAATGTAATGTTTCAAATTAAACTTCACATCAATTTTCTAAATACATGTTATTGATCTTATTGTAAATATTCATCGATGCTCATGTGAAGCATGCTGGAAATCTCCAATCGTTTAGTCAGCTTAAACCCTGCCCCTTTCTTACAGTCGACTGCAAGCTCACATTCAGATCTGCCTCCATCATAATTTACAACGATGGATAGAACCTAGTCCCTGTCCTTCATTTTACCCCAAACAATCACAATATGGAAGAAAAGATCTATTTCTATTACATTGAAACTTAAAATTTGTTTTACACTCCTCTTTCTTTGAGTGTAGACAGGGTGTTAAACATTTTTGTAAATTACAGTTAAGTGGTTGATTAGTATGATTACTTATTAATTTTAAGCAAAAGATTCATTAAGTTAGTTTTATATTAATAAACGTATAGCATCAGGATACGCACCGCATGGCACCAGGCCATTTGCAGCATATTTAAACCTCAAAATCTAGCGTAGCATTAGTTCTGGCAGGTCACGTTAGTCAAGCTCGCATCAGCTGACTCTCAGCTGATCCCCTTCAACCTATGGGGAATACGACACCTATCTAAGCATTCTTATTTTAGGTCCCTCAGTATTATCAGCAGTTTTCGCATTGCTCAATTGCTAATTACCCTCCTCCATCCCCAACTCCTCCTCTGTCAGTCAGGATTCAGCCTTCTGATTCTCCTTTGAATCAGACTAATTCTAAAATGTGTACGTAACATTATTGAACTTAATGATATCTGCAATACATTTTTGTTCTGTTTACCCTGGGGGGGTTATTGCTGCTCTCCCTGCTCTCATCCATGCTAGGCTGCATGGATGCGCAGGGAGTTCTTGCCCAGAACAGAACCATACCGCCAATCCAAACTGTATGCTAATTGTCAATCATCTTTGACGATAGTGGTCCTGACAGAAATGTGTTTCATTAAATAGCAAAAATCTTAATTGACAGCGAATTTCAAAAACTTGATAGAAACAGATCTACCACAATTTAGCGCAAAATGGACTGATAAATTTCTTCTTACATCAAGCTAAAGCTGATGATACATGGGGCAACTTTTTTTGAGCAATGCTGCTTTAGCACTTTCCCGTTGAGAATGGGTAAGAAATTTCTATCTGAATACTTTAGATCGGTCGTGGACCCTGTGTCTCACCTGGTTGCCCGTTGATGGCAACATTGCCCAAACATTGCTCAAAAAGTTGCCCCATGTGTCATCAGCCTAAATCTACACCGCTGCATGTAATTACAATCCCATGTCCTTGACTTAACAGAAATGATAGTGAATTTATTTTCTTGAATATGATTTACATACTGTATGAGATTTGCATGTGAAGTGAACATTGCTGAGAAGTTAACATGCTGAAATTATTTATGAATTTTAATAGCACATTTGTGCTGTAAGATTTCAATTCACCTTAACTGCATTGTTATGGAAAATGAAAAGGCTGACCAGCACTTGTGACTGAGGAGCACTTGATGAATGAGGTGATAAAAATAGGAGGCTGCACATATAAAAACCAACTGAAAGAGAAGTTCCTTTCTTCTATGCAGTTCATTTTATTCTCTGACCCCTGGCCACCCAGCATTTTCCAAAAGTGTCCTTCAAGCTACATAATTTACGTGTCCCTGGTTGACTTGAGCTCTCGTGTGTGTGCCCTCAGGACCGTGAGAGGCAGAATGCTCAGATAGGAAACATGGTGGAGTTCGCCATCGCTCTGATCGGCAAGCTGGACGGCATCAACAGACACTCCTTCAACACGTTCAGGCTTCGTGTCGGTAAGTCTGATTACAGAAACCTCAATTCTACACTGTTGTTAATTACTCAGTTATTGCTTGGAGTCAGAATTAATACTTGCATTTATTCAGACTCAGGATGAAAAACACTTTACCTCCAGGTATTGCACAGCCATTTCATTTTAGTCTTTGCTATTCTTACTTCTGCATTAAGGGTTAAAAATGAAACCAATATATATGGGATGTAGCTGAAAATCTCACTGGCAGCTCATAAGAGAGATCTTCAGCAGCTCAGGGTAACAGATGCACTTGGGAACTGGCATGAAATGCTTCATAAATGCTCCATTTAAGAGTCTGAGTACATATCACCCATCTGTGGCAGAGATCTGATTAAAAAATATATAGTAATAACAGACACAAATCCCCTCTAATAGACTTTATTAGAAAAAGGGAAAAGCACATTCCAGCAGTTACTTGAGGATCAAACTCACTGTCTCACTGGATCTGCTTTATGCTTCAAGTAAGTGGATGCCAATCATGTCTGTGAGCCAAAATTAAGAGGTGATGTCACTGACGCTAAAAACAGAAGCGTCTAATGCTAGTTAAATTAAATCAAAATGGCTTAGTGCAATTTATTAATTTGTGAAGGCTGTGATTTCATTGAAATACATATATGCACTGCCGCTGTCTCTTTTAGAGTGAATGGCACATGGCACTATGTTGTTTTACATTCGAGCAGCTTGTGATCCGGTGTTTTCAGAGCAGCACAGATTGCAGAAAATGCTGCTCCACACAAAGTCATCTCTGCATGTGCCCTGAGTTTGGGTCATTCATGAAGTGCAAATGGAAATGCAGTTTTCTGCATCCATCTTCCAAAACTATTCCAAAAATGAATAGTGCTTATAAACTGGCTGCTGTCAGTGTTTGGAAATGTAAACTGATATTTAAAAAGATAGAAATAACTGGCTTAATACCTTTTTTTTTTTTTTTTGGTGAAAATACTAATGGCCTAAGACTACACAGTAGTATATGTATATATATATATATATATATATATACACAGTGGGGAAAATATTTTTTGATCCTTAGTATTTTCACAAAAAAAAAAAAAAAAAGGTTGTCTTTTGGTTTAGATTCTGTCTATATCTGTTAAAACAAACCTACCATAAAAATTACAGACCCTTAATTTCTTTGTAAGTGGGCAAAGTCAGCAGGGGATCAAATAAATATTTCCCCAAATGTGTGTATATATATATATATATATATATATATGTATGCAGAAATCATGTAAATGTCTGTGCATGATTGTTTGTGCAGGTATAAACCACGGCCCGGTGATTGCTGGGGTGATTGGAGCCAGGAAACCACAGTATGATATCTGGGGAAACACTGTGAATGTGGCCAGCCGGATGGAAAGCACTGGAGAGCTGGGTAAAATACAGGTATGCACTGAATCTCTCCTACAGTACTTCACTTCTCTAGATCCACTATGATGATGATTCTCTTCTCATTTTTAGATTTTCAAAGTAGCTAAGTCATTTAAAAAAAATGAAATGGCCATCAAATGGTTTTTGCTATGACAAGTTTTGTGTTGCAGGTGACAGAGGAGACGTCAGATGTCCTGCAGAAGCTGGGCTATTCATGTGAGTGTCGTGGCCTGATCAATGTGAAGGGCAAAGGAGAGCTCAAGACCTTCTTTGTGTGCACAGATTCCAGCAAACAGCAGGGCATCGGTCTGAGCTGAGACTGAAGCCTCTGCCGCTGACAGCCTCACACACACACACACATGCACACACAGACTCCGGGCCTATATGTGATCTTTTTTGTTTTTCTCTTCAAACTGAAGCCTCTGCCGCTGACAGCCTCACACACACACACACACATGCACACACAGACTCCGGGCCTATATGTGATCTTTTTTGTTTTTCTCTTCATTTAAGAATGTTTTATTGCTACTGGATTTGTTTCTTTAGAGCATGTCTGAAGAAGTGCACATTCTTACTAACTCTGACATGTTGGAGTTTGTTTTGGCAGCATTTGGAGATCTGAAACTCTCAGACATAAAGCAACATATACATTCACGCACCTCACACTAACACAAGCGATCCTCTTATGGGAAACAGACCACAGACAGTGGGTAACTGAGTTCAGTGAAGGAAAATACTGCTTCTCAGACTTTCTGTGTACTGCTGTCATAGTGGCCTTGATCCTGTTGGATTTAGACTGATTTGGGATGACTTGAGCTGGTCGGCCGGTTTTGGTCTCATTTGAGACTCACATACAGAGGGAACACGTGACCCACACAAACCCATCATGGCAGATGAGCAGACGTTAAAATATCTAGAATTTGTTCGGTCATTTAAAATAGCATGTATCTTATTATAAACCATTCTGTCAACATTTGGACCAACGAAATGGTGGAAGCCTGTTGTTGCTTGAATATACATACTGTGGATGTTTTTATTTTTATTCATATATATTTTTTTTGTTTTCTTTTTAAAAAGAACTGCCAAGTGTTTTGAATGCCAAATATCAACAAGAAGTGTTGATTTGCTGTTGTCTTTGAGTTGAGATTGTGGATGTTGGTGAGCCTTTCTTAGCTTCATAATATGCTACAGACAAAAACTAGGAATGTTTACATATACTGGGGGAAAAAATGTCAATGACTGAAATTCAGTCAACTTCAAGTGAAAGTGTACTTTCATCGCTTTCTTTCATTGCTTGTTCTTTCATATTTCTTAGATGTTGACCAAATGGCTCTGTGGCTTCTCCCATCTGAAGTTGTAAATTCGCTACTGGATGTATTCATGCATCTTAGCTTACATTGCAGTAAATTGATTTGCTCAGACGGTCTCTGCTTTTGTTCTTTTTGGTTTGTTTTCTTTTTAAAAAGAACTGCCAAGTGTTTTGAATGCCAAATATCAACAAGAAGTGTTGATTTGCTGTTGTCTTTGAGTTGAGATTGTGGATGTTGGTGAGCCTTTCTTAGCTTCATAATATGCTACAGACAAAAACTAGGAATGTTTACATATACTGGGGGAAAAAATGTCAATGACTGAAATTCAGTCAACTTCAAGTGAAAGTGTACTTTCATCGCTTTCTTTCATTGCTTGTTCTTTCATATTTCTTAGATGTTGACCAAATGGCTCTGTGGCTTCTCCCATCTGAAGTTGTAAATTCGCTACTGGATGTATTCATGCATCTTAGCTTACATTGCAGTAAATTGATTTGCTCAGACTGCTTTTGTTCTGAGAATGTTTGGTGAAAATGAGAAGAATTTGTGCCTGTTGAAGCCATAGGCATAAATGTTCAATTTATGTTCAATGTCTCTCTGGGTTTTCAGCCCTCTCGAGTGTGAGTGACTAAATTGACATAGTTTGAGATTCTGCGCTGCCTTTCTGTACCGCGCAATGTTTGTGAGGAACGCCTGCCGTCTCCTCTGTTTTGTGTGCATTGTTACAGAATAAATCATTTTACACTTTATATGCTTCCTGTCTAGCATTTTGCCAAATTGATGAGAGAAACTGTGTCAGAGGTCACACTGGACTCAGGCCTTCTGGCGACTTCTGCAGAATGAGACTGTATTGTTCAAATAGCAGGTTCATTTATCACAGATTTATGATTTGTTGCCTTAAAACGGTAGCAAATCTCAAGAGGTCATGAAACATCATTATGATTTTACATAAATTTGCCATTGCCAAACATGAAGGGCAATTAGAATTACCTGATTCTTTGGTTTAGTTTGGCTTTAAATCAAAGCATCAGTGGTAACACATGTAACAACTTTCCTTTAAGGTTTACACAGAATTCTTCCAAAGCATGACAGGATTTGTGAATCTAGCAGATAGCACAAAGCACTGTGAACTGCTCTCATGTTAAATCTAGAATTTTCAAACCGTTTAGTATTTTACTCAGACCTTTACAAATGCTACTCTGACATTGTCATTTACTCACCCTCATAACAAACCCATAAGTCCCAACACTCATCTTCAAAAAACAGTATAGACATTGATAAGCGTGCATACATAGAGCACATCAAATATGGCAAATGGAAACTCTATAAACATGTTTGATGCACGAGACCCAATGAGGTTTGTTCTCACATGTCCCACAAGCATATCTGAGCTTCCATTTACTATATTTGAAAAGCTTTATGTATGTGCTTCTATGTGATTAAAATCCTAAATTAAATGTGCTCTTCAGAAGACCCGAGTGAACCGTTCGATTCATAGATTCATTACTTAAAACAGCGGCAGATGATGTTTGGCGGCTGTTTAGCGCTCAGTCTCTCTTTCTGAACCTTCTGCAGCTCCCTCAGCAACACTGTCGTCTCATCCAGCTTCTTCTGGAAATGCTCTGCTTCTAATGGAGGAAGCGGAATTTTTACTGAGATGAATCAGTCTGTTTAATAGGTGGGAAAAGGGTTCACATGTGTTTTTGATGTGATGCTTTCCATTCCACAGCTGAGGGAGGAGGATCATTATGAATTCATTCGGCATAATAGAGATGAAAGATGTGTCTCCAGAAAGAGTTCATTAATAAAACTGGGAAAGAAAAAAAAACAAAACCTTGGGGCCTTGATTTCCATAAGGTTCGATCACACACAAAATGACTAAGAGAGATTTATGATCCATATTTCAAACTAAACATTTTAATAACGGGATTTTTACCTTCTGAGTCGAAGCTCTCAGGGAGCAGGTCAGGATTCAAACCCAAAGCACCATCACCGCTGCTGGGCTCCGACACAACAACCTACATGGACAAAGGGGGATATGGATTGAATCCAAAACATCAATGTGTTCAAAACACTTGTGAGAAGACTTCAGTGTAAACACCTCCAGTCAAATCATGCCACTGACTAATATGCTGATTTTATGCTTAAGAAACATCTTTTTATTCTCAATGTTGAAAACAGTTGTGCAGATTAATAGTTTTGTGGAAACTATGATGCATTTTATAGAAAGCTCAAAAGAACAGCATTTATTTGAAATAGAAATCTTTTGTAACATTCGAAATGCTACTAGTGTCATTTTTGACCAATGTTCCAATTTCTTAGGAGAAAACAAATCACCCTAAACTTTTGAATGGTAGTGTATCTGTATGTTTACTGTTGTTCAAAGAAGTCTTATCAAGTGCATGGAAGGTGCTTATATTATTGTGAGTTATGGCGTCATACAAAATTATTGTAATGTACTGACTGCCATATTATTTTCATAGATTTTCTCTTTTATCGATTTTATAAAGCACAATCAAACTCCTTCCAAGTACCCCAAGGAACAAGCTTAGATACAAGTACATCTGGTTGGGAATCGCTAGATAAAATGCTTGTTGTTCTCCTTCAACCCATCGGTCTTGTCTAGTGGATAATACATAGTTTTAACCTATGCTATATGTGAAATCTGGATAAATCTGCTAAACACAGTGTTGAACAGTAGCACCACCCTGCTAAGGTATGCTTGCAGAACCACAGTCAAAGACGGCCTTCCACACACGGACTAATGTATGTTCATAGACGACTCGTGCTTACCTTTTCCTCTACGTCATCAGCACCCTCACACACACTCACACTCACACAGATTAGTGTGAATGAAGGAGGAAGTCAAAAACGACAGAGGGAGGGGAGGGGAGGGGAGTGTGTGTCTGGGCAAATATTCTTTCCATTAATGTGAAAGTTGGTTGGTGTTGTTGACACAGCTGCTGCAGAGCAGAGAGCCTGCGGTCCTGACACTGCCTTTAAATAGCAGGTTTGTGTCTTCACTTCCACTCAAGTGAGCTATACACACTAGTATACATACTTATAGACATTTGAAATGTTATTTTCTGAGGACATGAGAGCATTTTACCACAGCATCATCTGTTGTGTCTACTTTCTCTGCAGGCTCCTCCATGGTTAGATTACCCTGAGAAGAACAAATATAATCAAAGAAATAATCAAGAGTAAGCTGCCCAGTTGAAAATAATTCAAAATGGATATTATATACATTACATCATTTAGTGGTATATCATGCATTCATTTTGACATGCAGTTATGGGTATTAGATGAATGAGGTTTCTTACAGTTTCAGTCTCTTTCAGTTGTCTTGAGTGCTCCCCACTGGTCAAAGCATCCAAGACATTATCTGCCAACCTGCTCATGTGTTCCTTGGATTTAGCCAGGTAATCTGCAATGCTGCACATGAACCCATCCGAATTACATTTGTGGAACACAAGGTGAACAGTGGAAGGGTGGGAATCAGGGCTTTATTGTTTGAGAGGTTCAGAAAACCACACAAATGCCTGCGGCTTACTGCAAAAACCACTGTTCTTAAGAGACGGCTGCTTCTTAGTCATCTAAAACTGATCAATGGATTTATTTCATCATATGTCTGATTCCAAACAAACACACACCTTTCAGATTCTGGCTGACTGTTGTCCTCTCCATAGAAGGAGTAAATGAGATCAGAGTCCTCTTTGCTGATATGGGAAAAACTGGAGTCATATGTAGGTGCATATGAGCTGAATGGGCCGTAATTCATATAGGCAACTGCAAAGAGAGAGAGGGGCATGTGGAGACTTTCACAGATTCAATGAACTTCAGACTGATTCCTGAAATAGCAGTTTTATGTTTAAGAACATTTCAATAAGTAACTGCCAAAGCAAGCAGTTAGACTGAGAGGAAGGACTCAACACAGTCTAAACCTTTTGACTTTAAGGCCTCCTTAAAGTCCACAACAATATTCAGAGGCTCCTTAGCCCAAGTTTTGTTTCTGAAACTTATTTTAATTTTATGGGCACTCTTAGTTAAAATGATGAAATTTCATACATTCAAAAGTTTTAGGAGTGGAACGTTCTTCAGGGTTCCCAATCTTTTAAATAATTTTCATGATTTACTGGATAAGGACTAAAGATTTAAAAATAAAAAATATTATATTCTATATTCTAAAAAATATTTCTACATGATAAAATAAGAGCTTGGCATTAATTATATTTATTCAAAAATGCCCATGGCTTTTTAAGATTTTTTTTTTATTAAATTACCTTGTCTCAAAATCACAGTTCCCTCTTTGAGAACTATAAAAGAAAATGGACTAATGCACTGCCCACTCCAAAACAGTCACTTCTGAAGCGGCATTGTACAATTCTCTAACTTGACTCAAACCTTCGGTTTTTTGATCAAACAACTAGAGTTTTACATTTTGAAAATGTGAAAGAATGTGAGAAATGGAAAACTCAGTAGGATGCTCTTAAAAGGTTACCAGAGCAGTGCGGTTGTTGACTAGCCCCCACCCCCCCAAAAAATGAAGCCCACCCCAAATCTTAATGTTCTGACTCCTTAAATGGAAGGCTATGATATTTGTCTGCCTTTGAGGTATTATTCGTATCAGTAGCATGGTCTAGAAAAATTGTCACACAGAAGAGTAAAAATATGAAAAACAAGAAGCACCACAGGTGACTGACAGATAAAAGATACAGATGAGTAGAAAAAGGCCACTGATTCAGCAGTGATTTTGACCTATCCTATTTTCCTCGGAACAATTCGATTTTTCTGGCATGTAATAGTACATTCTTCTGGCAGTTGAACACTGGGTATTTAAACAGAGATTATATCGCACCCCTCCCATGATCTTCTCCACATGACTGAAGGTAAGGCCACAGAAGAGAGAGAGTACTGGGTGAGTACTGGGTGAGTACTGGGTGAGTACTGGGTGAGTACTGGGTGAGTACTGGGTGAGTACTGGGGCCTGTACCATGATGGTGGCTGAACAAACTCGGGGTTTCAGGATTAGTTTTCAGTTGACAAAACCAAATCAGTCCAATCCGGCTTTGTTGGTACCATGAAGCTGATCATCAACTTTCTCTGTCAACTCAGGCTTG